AAGGGTGATGAGTGATACGTCCTCGTAAAATTGCAGTGTTGTGGCATCGAATTTTGGCGGTTTTCTCCGCGTGGCAGCCATGATGATCTCCTTAGCAGTGAAGGCGCACTATGACATCTCTGGGTGCTGACTGGTTTTGGCTGGGGGGCTTCAGTGCCCTGTGTGCCCGGTCTATAGTCAGGTCTTGTGGTGTTGCGTCAGGGAGGAGAGACAGGAAGAGTTTGCGCAACGTGGAGGGCAATATGTCTGGCTTTACGGTCTCAGGTAGGCCTCTTATCCTTATGTTATTATGCCTTGAGCGGTTGTTTAGGTCTTCTATACCTGTTTCCAGCATATCCACTCTGTTTCTCAGTGTGGTGATGTCTGCCTCCTGTGCCTTTAATGTATCCAGGAGTTCATCTGCTCTCTGCTCCACCTGACCTGTTCTTTCTCCCAGGTCTGCTATTTCTGCCTTCATGCAGTGTAATTGCTTCTCCAGCTCTGCTGCCATGTGTCTCTTTATATCTGTGGCTGCTTCCCTTAGTTGCAGGTCTCGCTTAAAAGTTGCAGGTCTCGCTTTGTCAGTGGGGCTGCTGCTGAGGCTGTTGCCTCGCCCTGATGAGTCTGACTCATCTGCCTGCTATGGGGAAGATGGCGCCGGATTGCGCTGGGGCCGGAACAATGTGGCCACCAAGGGTGTTTGATCGCGCTTTTTACGATTGCCACCCATACCGGTAGGTTGGCGTGGGTGTCCTGGCGGGTGTGCCGATATGTTAGGGGGTCTGCGTGCAGGTTGTTGTTTATTTGGTAGCTTTTTTTGATGCTCGATGGCGGGAGTTCGCGCACTATGAGGCCATCTTCGTTCCCGGTCAGGCTCCGCATGATGTTTTTTTAACTAAAAATATTTATACTTATTTCTTATGGATTGGATTACTACAACAGGATGGTTTCTATAAACGCTTTAGTTGCATCTACACAATTGAGTATTAGGAAAGTCTTTGAACACACCTCACTGTATATGTTCAGTGTCTTGAAACAAAAAAACTCCTCCCTTAACAAACCCTTATAACCTTTTGTTGTCCACTCAAGTCTATGGAGTCAATATCCACTATGGAGTAAGAAATATCCGTCTTTAGCATGCACAGTTCTCTGTTTACATCAATTCCCTAATTTCATTATCAAAACATATATTATGGAAGAAGCAGCTAGTATTGTGAACACTCACATTTCCCAGAAGCTCTGTTGTGTGACAGCTATTTTGATACTCTATGTTTGTTTAATATTGCTCTTCACCACTCAGACACTTCTCCGGTAAGGATATGAAGAAATCTAGAAAGAAAATGCCTCTTCACATTAAAATAACACAGCATTGGTGACCTGCTCCTCCAATTGAGAAGGCCCAAAAAGGTGGCAACCAGATACGCAGTATTGTCCTGTTCAGAGGTCACTTCATCCAATGCTGTGGGTCGATAACAGGTTTGTGCTCTGAAAGGTAGTCTAAAGTACAAATAGTGATTGTATCACCATGGAAACCGGTGAAGCCAGCAGGCACATTCCATAATAAGTTTTGGGTCATGATAGCTGCAAAACATAAATCACTGATAACAGCTTACTTTTTTCCAAGAGCTTTGTCGCAGTCGGCCTACTATGAAGGTCTTCCATTGGCCAGTTAACTAAGCAATTTCGGGATTTTGGTATTCCCTATAATTGGGGTCAACCTCACTCCCTTGTTCCTTAAAGTGAAGGCAAACAACATCGGCAACATCTGAGGCAAAGATGTCACTTTTTCTTGAAGTTTTAGGACAAACTAGGCTCTCCAACTTGGATTCTAGCCCTTCTACTGCTCCAGTGCAGGGCATTGATAGTATTCGTTACACTAAGCTCCCACGGACCAGGTTGCACAATACCTCTCTGGCTTTCTAAGCTCTTAAGGATGTTTATTATTGATGATACTGCCTTTTACTTTTTGCTGTCAGTAATGACTTGTAATTTTTATTTTATGTTTATGTTCATGTTAGTTTTATGCTCGGATGCTTCTCAACTTCTCTGATTTTCTCTCTCCCCACCTGACAGTGCTCATCAGTCATTAAGCATTAATCTGGATGTTCTGGAACTAATCTACAAATATTTTCAGATTTTTTTAGTTATTACTTGGCTTTTTAAAACCTTTGTCCTGATGAGTGCATACCTAACTACCAGTATATTGTACTATGGATAACACTACTAATGTTCTTTGCCTCTTATGAAAAACATTTTATATAAGACTTGATCTTCATTATTGTGTGTGCACTTACTCATACGTACCTATACTCATGAGGACCATCCTAATTAAATAATTAAAATTAGATGTCTGTTTTGTTTGTCTTTTTTCTTCTGCCACTCAGTTGGCATGCCTGTTCCTTTCTATAGTAATTTTATAATAATGGGGCACTTTTTAAAAGATACTGCTGAGTTTTGGCTGCACGTGAAGTTTGTTTTTTGGTGCAGTTAATAAAGATAATTGCCAATGTAAGGAAGATTCAACACTCAATAGTAATAATCTCTTTGACCTTGTCTCCATGAAGCTCAGAAACATATAGATAGTTTTCAGTTCAGTTTTGATAGCGATTAACTATATGTGAAATGACAACCTGTGATATTGGTTTCAAGCAAGAAGCACTCAAAGAAAACCCGAGTTCTCAATATCCTTGAGATATCCATGTGATTCAATATAACATATCTGGTAATGCATCATCATCCTCAGTTTGGATGCCTGTCTGCTTCAATGTTTGGAAGAGGAAGGATATGATGTGGGCGTAATAAAACATAAATATAGTGGCAGGTACTAGATTTTAAATTACTTACATTTTCATGTATTAAAGATCACCTTAAATTATTGAACCACCACATCCACCTTCAGATTATGCACATCTCCTGACCCTTGTAGACTAAGCCAAGCTGAAAAAACCTATAGGTATAAAAACAACAAAGCACCAGGCCTGAATGATTTTTGTGTTATTGAAGAAAATATCCAAGCTAAACAGTTAGTTAGCTTTGCTTTATAACACCACTCACACTGTATCTCACCAGGGAGGGAGAGAGAGAAGAACATATGGGCTCCAGTTTTGTCACTGCAGTCTGTACTGTGTGTATTACTTACATTACAGAAGACATGCCTCTATTTTAATTGGGTGAAAAGGGTATGTTTCTTTCAGAGACTGGGAATCAGGAAAATGTTGAAATTTGAGAGCAGGTGGCTAAGGAGGTTGGGTTACACTGCTGATAACAGCACTGCAGGAAAACTACACAGAATTGAAAGAAAATAAACTAACCACAGGGATTTGAGCTGATCTACTTTATTTTAAGCTGAACTTGTTTAGCTGCCTGGAATGTTCCTTTAAGCTTCAATACTTACTTTTGAGCATAGTATAACTTTCTTATTTAAAAAGGGTACGTTTTGAGATGCTTTTGATAACGTGAATCTTTTTTTTCTATGCTGCATCTGAATTATATTAACATTTTTTATTTTATTTTTTAAATTACACTTCTTACACAAAACATTTCCTGTATTTGCAAGTGTGGGAACGCAGTACAGTAAAATTTGAACAGATCATGAGATCTACAGTTTGACAGCACAGCTCTCCTTAGAGACTATAAAGCCAAACATACACTGTATATTCTCATAGTGAAAAGAGAATTAGAAGTATTCCCAATATGACTATAGTGAAACATTACAAAATACTCAAACTCATTTCCTGCGTGAGAGAAGGTGCACATCAAAGATTTATTCATTGAACAATGAGATGTGGTTTGCTGACAAGAAAGTTTATAAAACAATAGACTAACTCAGTCGAGTTAGAGATTAACCAATTAATTTGATCATGTCTTGTTTTTTAGTGAATAGCCTTCAAAGTCCTTATTTTGTTTATTTTTTACCCACATTTCTAATAGGGACACCAATTGCATACAGGTTCCTCTAAACATCCTTATAATTCGGATGAACAAAACATAAGTATGTTTTAGTGTTAGCTGTTTTAATTACAAAAAAACCCCATCAGCATTGAGATTTCTTCGGTAAACTTGTCTGCGTCTTTATTTTTTTTTTAAACTGTTTATTTGTAATAGTTCATTTGTTCTAATAATCTACAAAACAGATTTAACATGAAACAGCTATATAGACATAATAGCCTTTTATATAATAAACATCCTTCAGTTTTCAGATGTATGTGTCTTACTTTTGTTTGCCTTTCCTACAGAGCTTGGATTCTTGGTTACACTAGATCTGTTGATATGATAGATAATACTACACATAACATAGGCGCTAATGGTTGATTAGCTTTACATTTTTATTATTGTATTTATTATGGGATGTATTATCTTGATAGAATTTTCCTTATGTGCTGGATGTTGTATTTTGAACACTGTAAAGTTAATCTCAGTATTTATTATACTTACATTTTGTAAACACGTATAAAGCCAGAACAACAATACAGAAAGTAGAACAGTGGTTAGGAGGCAATGAGAATCTGAAAAAAAGATGAAAGCCCTGATAACAGGAAGCTGTAAAAGGACCATGTAATTGTCGTAGCATAGGAAATATACTGATGTGCAGTATATGAACAGAAGGACAGGGACAGACCTGAGCTGCATTGCAAACATGGGAGAGATGTATAAAATTTGAGAATTAAGAGAAGGTAGTAGGGTGGAATTATAATGCACAATTTGTCATCTGTTTTTGCAAATTAACTACCCTCATTCTCTGAAACACAGGTAGTCAAATACTGAATGGTTAACTGTTAGTACACTACAGTTAACATAAATCTTTTATAGAAAAAAAACAGTATGTTCCTGACAATAAGTGATGTAAAAAGCCTTGGTGATTTAAAACAATTAAACAGCAACAGTCTGTATAGTAATACCTGTTATTTATTTGAATCAGTCTCATGTGGTAGCCCCCACCAGACCAAAGGTCCGTGGACATAAAATATACAAATCTTCAGCACCATCATATAGTACTTTGTGTGCCAATTTCTGTAAATACGGAATTCTAAGCAACTCCCACAAAGTTACAATGCTCTCTTCTCTACATTCACCTCAAGCCTTTTTCTCACACGAAATAGTTGTACCAGTTTTTTTTTCTGTTTTTTTTTGACAATTTTTATTGGGTTTTTTTTTTTTGGTTTGCGTGGGGTACAGAAGAAAGAAGGGATAGGGTTGTAGCATCATCACCATCGTACAGTTCCCATCAGTATATTACATTGTTGTACATGCTTGCCTAACAATAAACAATGAACAACCTGGTTTATCTAGAAACAACAATAGTAACCATCATCGTTAATCGCCTTCCGGCGAGATTTGTGTCAGATCCTGCCATCTATCTAATGTTGTTTGCGTGATTTGGTCCGTCTTTCTGCCTCGGTTGTCTATGCTGCCCCTTGTTCTGGGACTTCTTTGGTCTCGGTGCTCCTAGGAGCGCACCTGGTGAGTGCAGTGAGGTTGCTGCTAGGGGGGGGAGGTGGTTAGATAGGGGAGTAAATGGGGGGGATTTGTTATTTTCCCTGGCTAGCCCCAGAAGAGTTCTCTGTCAAGTCTCGTGAGCCCTGAGGCTTCTTGGTTCTTTTGTGCGCCTGTTGTGTGGTACCAGTACTGCAACATGCTATCTGGCGGCTAGCGGATGTTCTATCTGTCTCCTTTTGTTAATATTGGGTTTCAACTAACTCAACTATGTACAGTGTGGGTGTCCTCTCCCTTAGTCCTGTCCTGTCCTTTAAGGGTTGTGTGTGCCCTTCCTTATATAGCTGTGGCCGCCTCCCTTGCTGCTGAATCTCTGCTGTCTGCTATTGTGTTGCTAACTGGTTCCTACCCCTGCTTTCCTTGTCGTGTCTCGCTAGGAAATTTTCCCACTTCTGTTTGGCTCCCGTCCTATATTCCTGTATTGTGAGTCCTGTGTGTATCCTTGTCTCGTAGTCTATGTTCGTTGTGATTTGTTGGATCACTGCGTCTATGCTCGGGGTTTCTGTCTGTTTCCACGCTTTTGCTATGTGTAAGTTTGCTGCGATTAGGATGTGGAACATTAAGAAAGCTTGGAGTTTTGGGAGATTGTCTAAGGTCATGAAAAGGAGTCCACATTCCGGCTCTATTTTCCCCGCTTGTTGTAGAGCGATTGCAATTATGTTGCTTATTTCCTCCCAATAATCTGTGATAAGAGGGCACATCCACCATATGTGGTACATCGTTCCTTCCTCCCTCCCGCATCTCCAACAATTCTTAGACGTGTTGGGGTAGATAGACGCTAGTCTGGAAGGGACCATGTACCATCTGTATTGTATTTTACGGATTAATTCTAAGTGGGAAGCGCATCTAGACCTTCCTCTGTGTGCTATAAACGCGTTTTGCCAGAGTTCGTCTGTCAATGTTTTGCCTATGTCTGATTGCCACATTATTTGGAATTTCTCTCTACCCTCGCTTGGGGGGTCGGACATTAGTTTGTATAAGGTGGAGAGCAGTTTGGGTGGTACCTTCCTGGTTGTGCAAATTCCCTCAATGTTCTTTGCCCTTTTAGGTGTGGTAACCTCTGTGTCATGTTCCAGGAGTGACTTGAGTTGGAGGTATGAGAACACGGATTGTGGCGGTAGGTCGTATCTGGTCTGGAGGTCTGGGAATTGCATTAGGGTGGTATTATGGAAAAGATGTTTGACTAACGTGCACCCGCCTCTTTCCCATGGTTTGTAATTAAATGATGGGTTAGCTATGTGTATGCTCTGTATCGGGGTTGCTAAAGACCAGTGTTTCGTGTATCCCAGTTGGGTTCTCGTGGTATCCCACGTCTTTAGTAGGAGTGTTGTGGTATCGGGTAAGTCCGTGATTTTGGGGCGTAGGTGGTGGGGCAACCAGATTAAGTGGTGTAACCCTTTTGGGCATGTCCACTGTGATTCTATATCTACCCATTGCGGTCTATCTTCTACTTTGTGTATCATCAGCACCGTGGTTATTAGGGACGCTTTGTAGTATGCACTCACATCCGGTAGTCCTAAACCCCCTGCTGTCACTGGTTTTCGTAGTATTTTGGTCGATACTCGTATTCTGCGGTTTGCCCATATAAATCTGTTTAGTGTTTGTTGGAGTTTTTGTAGAAACTTGTTAGGCAGTGGTATCTGTAGAGTGCGAAACAAGTATTGCAGTTTGGGCATTACCATCATCTTGATGGCCGCAATCCTGCCTACCCAAGACAGGTATTTGTCCTCCCATGTTTGTAAGGTGGCGATTATCTCGCTCTGTAATCTTCCGTAGTTGTGTTCACGGAGTCTGGCTATTGTTTTAGTTATTCTTAGGCCTAAAAAGGTAATGTAATCATCCCTCCAATCGAGGGGGAATGTGGCTTTTAGGTGTGCTGTTGTGTGTCCTGGTACCCCTATCCCCATTGCCTGTGTCTTTGTGACATTAAGCTTGTAGTATGACTGGTCACCATACAGTCGGATCTCCTTCAGCAGGTTTGGCAGTGATATTAGGGGTTGTGTGAGTGTAAGTAGGATATCGTCCGCAAATAGGTTCGCTTTGTATTCCTTACCCCCCACTCTCACCCCATGTATAGAAGAGTTTTCCCTAATTTTCACCGCCAGGGGTTCTAGGGCCAGTACATAAAGCAGTGGGGACAGGGGACATCCCTGTCTTGTCCCGTTAGTGAGCTTAAAGGGATCAGATAGGAATCCGGAGTTTAGTACCTGTGCTGTTGGTGCTTTATATAAGGCTTTTATTACTGCCACTATCTTGTCTGGAATCCCAAACTTCTTCAGAGTCTCTTGTAGGAATCCCCAGTGCAGACGGTCGAAGGCCTTTTCTGCATCTAGGGAGACCAGGATCCCCCCTTCGGTGTGATTACTTATCTCGTGTAGTAGAGTTATGACCTTTCTGGTATTATCAGACCCTTGCCTCCCCTTGATGAATCCTACCTGGTCGTTGTGTATTATGTGGGGTAACACGGATCCCAATCTCTTGGCGTAAATTTTTGCTAATAATTTCGCGTCCGTGTTGAGAAGTGATATGGGTCTAAAGTTCTGTGGTGTTGTTGGTGTCTTGTTTGGCTTCGGGAGTGTCACTATGTGCGCTAGCAGTATGTCATTAGGGAGAGACTGGTTGATTATTGCTTCATTAAATGTTTTAACCAGTTGGGGTGCTAGGATCGACTGGTAGGTTTTATAGTAGGTGTTGTTAAAGCCGTCTGGGCCTGGTGCCTTTCCGTTAGGCAAGGAGTTTATCGTATCTATCATTTCCTGGGTTGTGATTGGGTTATTGAGTATGTCCTGCTGCTGCGTTGTCAGCGTTGGTAACTGAACTCCCCTTAGGTAGTCTGCAATTCCCCGTGTATCCGGTTGTGTAGTGGCGGCATTATCTTTGAGGTTATATAAGTCCGAATAATACCTGGCAAATACATCGCTAATGTCTTTCGGGGTTGAGGCTTTTGTCCCTTTGTGGTCTAGTAAATGGTGGATCTTTTGGTTTGTTTGCTTCAGTTTTAGGCGGAGTGCTAATAATTTGCTGGCTTTATTGCCCTGAACGTAGTTCGTCGTTCTCAGTTTGGTCATGTGTCTGTTGACCTGGTCTATGGCTTGTTGGTGTATGAGCCTCGCTATGTGGGTTATGCGTTGTTTTGTTGCAATGGTGGGTGTAATTTGGTTTAGCGTGTTTAAGTCATATAGTTCCTTTTGCCAACCCTTAAGTTGTGTTTGTGTTGTTTTCTTTATGTACGCTGCTCTCCTAATCAATAGGCCTCTCATGACAGCCTTATGGGCTTGCCACAGTGTTGTGGCTGCGATACCCCCTGTGTTATTGTCCTCAAAGTAAGCCCTCATCTCTTCTGCCAGTTCCCCTTTAAAATGTCTGTCTAGCAGTAGTGAGTCATTTATTTTCCAGGGGCTACGGTGCTTAAAGTCATAATTATCTTTAAGCTCTAGTGTTATCGGAGCATGGTCAGACCACGTTATTTGGCCTATGTCGCAGGACTGCGCTTGATTCAGATGGGAACCTGATATCAGGATGTTGTCTATTCTGGAGTATGAGTTGTGGACCGGGGAGTAGTGTGTATATGCTTTTTCGTCAGGGTGCGTGATTCTCCAGGTGTCATACATGTGATGTGTGTGTAGGAGTCTTTGTATGGCCTTGCATTGTCTTTGTAGAGGTCGGTGACTACGGCTTTGTGGGGGCAATGTGGTATCCAGTTTCGGGTCTAAGATATGGTTGAAATCGCCGCATAGTATTGTAATGCCGTATTGAATATTCGCTAGTTTGTGAAGGATTTTGTGTAGAAAGTTCCTTTGATTGACGTTGGGTGAATATATATTGGCAATCGTGTACTCCATGTCATTTAACGTGCCTGACACTATGGCATATCTGCCGTTTGGGTCTATATCTTGGTTGTGAAGGGAAAATTTGGTGTCTTTGCTTATCAATATTGAAGCCCCTTTCGACTTCGTAGTGGAAGTGGAGTGGAATTGGTGTGGGAAATCTGTAAGCATCGATTTAGGAAAATCCTCTTTGCGGTAGTGGGTCTCTTGCAGACATAGAATATCAGTGCGGATTGTTCTGAGTTCACGGGCAAGGAGGTGCCGTTTTGCGGGGACATTCAGTCCTCGCACATTATATGTGCATATTCTCACGGTGGTTGTCTGGTGTGGGTGTGCATGTTAATTGTGGAAGCGTGTATAAGTGCGGGGGTCCCTGCTCGTCCCAGCCTAGTCCAGCTGAACAGGGAGATCCCTAATGTAGATTGTGCTGCACCCTTCAGTGTAGTGGGCGGACAGTGGTCTTGTCTAGCTTGTGCTGTAGGCATCAAGTTTTGGGGGAGAGGTTCGGGGCTACCCACAAGCCCTATAATGTATACAACAACACTTGTACATAAAACAGAACATGTAACGATCAAAAACATTAGCAATATAAACTTCTGAACCATTTTAGTGTGTGCCTCTAATTCGGCTTGGCACTGCTTGTATGTGCCGTGGGGGTTGAGGCAACTACCTCTGTCCTATGGGAGCTCCCTCTCTCAAGCGCTTCTAAGTGGTGCTTATCATAATGAAACCCTGCGTCCAGTTACTTTTTTTTTTTTTTTTTCCTTCTTCTTCTAAATACTACAATTCCCTCTCCCGTTTTGTGCTACTCCTCCCTGTTAT